AACAGGGGTCAAAAATGTTTGAAAAAATTAATTGCATCTGCACTAAACACATACAGACTTTTTCTCCTCAGTATTCCCTAAATAATGAAATATAACAATTATTTACTTAGCATTTACATTGTGTTCGGTATGATAAGTAATCTAGAGATGATTTAAAGCATACGGGAGGATGCACATAGGTTCTCTGCAAATATTACACCATTTTATATAAGAGACTTGAGCATCTATGGATTTGGATATCCACGGGGGGGGGGGGGGKCCTGGAACCAATCCCTTGCAGATACCAAAGAACAACTGTGTTTTTTAAACTTTATTTTCATTCAAACCCTCACAGCTGCGGATAGAGTTCATTCAGTTGACAGCATTTGTTCCCCATAAAGCCCAAGTGGTAAAGCCAGCCCTCCCTGCCAAAGCAATCCCACAAATCTCACTGATTGTGAGAAAAAATGCTGGCTTCATTCTTTCAATCGAAATAAATGTGTTGACACCCATCCCTGAAACCACTTTCTCACTTCGGAATTCTAATTTGTAGATAAATAGCAGACAGTCACACACACAGCGGGCTGGCTAGGTAAGAGGTTTGGCTCACTGCCATGGGCGTGTGGCCTGGTGGAAAGATCCCCAATGTGTTTCTATTGATGCTCAGTCTGTTTAGTACTCTGGGCCTCTCTGCAGAAGCCACAGTGGTTCCTCTGCTTGGCGCCTTGGATTTTGATGCCCAGAGCAGTGCATCTAGGCTGGGGGCATCTCTTTCTGCTTCAGATGGAAGACAGGGGATCTTAAAGGGGGAGATGAGAAAGGAGACCCAGAGGTAGGGCTCAGGCTTGCTCTCAGGCAGATCCATGTTAGGAAAGAGACATCCAGGGCTTGGGAAACTAGAAGCAGATCTCTCAAAACTCTGTATGTTCATGTAGCTCCTGGGAAGTACTTCTGTATCCCTGGGGCTACCTGTACCTGGTTCGAGAGCCATGTTCTAAAGCACTGAGATAGAGTGGACTGTTAGGAGAGGGAGGAGACTACAGAGAGAAGCCACAATGTGTGCTAGTTGCTGGGTGGGGTGTAAACATCTAGGTGTCATGTGTTGTAATCAGCTGTGCATGCATGCRTATATGGGAGTGGGTGTCACTATCCAGGTACTCACAGGGCAAAGGTTAGTTCAAGCCTCATGACCCCAAATGCCCCCATCTTGGAATGGGACATGTGGGTGCTCTCTCCTGCTAGACTTCTGGCTCTCTATGGCCAAATGCCCTTCTGAGCCCTCATGGGAGTGTGCATTGTTATCTGTCTATCTGCCTGTGTCCTGGTAGTCAGATTTTTCAGCTCTGGCCAGGTGCCATGTGCACACCTGTAATCCCAGCAGCTCAGGAGGTTGGGACAAGAGGATCACGAGTTCAAAGCCAGCCTCAGCAATGGCGAAGTGCTAAGCAACTCAGTGAGACCCTGTCTCTAAATAAAATACAAAATAGGGCTGGGGATGTGGCTCAGTGGCCAAGTGCCCCTGAGTTCAATCCCCAGTACCCCCCACCCCACCCCACCCCACCCCCCAAGAAAGAAAGAAAGAAAAGATTTTTCAGCTCTGCAAGATAAAGCACACATCAGAATTTCTCAGACCTCCGTGAGTCTCTGGTACACAGATGAGCTAACAAGCATGGAGGGAATGAGTGACAACTCCACAGTGGAGACATGATGCTCAGCGGGCTTCCCCTGCTCCACCCCCCTCTGCTCATCCTTCAGCACCTAACACTCCAACCTACAGGGGCCGTGMGAGCCCCAGGCCTTCATCCCTATCCTCTCCTCCTCTACCACAACAGTCCCTCAAACTCAGGTCCTACCCCTTCTCTGTGCAGGGGACTCTGTAGGGCCAAAGCTGAGCATGGGACCCATCCCCCACCAGAAGACCCCACCTCAGTGCGAGCCCAGGTTCCCAGTTCCAGGTCCGGCCACTGGGTCCTTACCTGTCTGAAGCAAACCAGCATTGCTGTCGCTGATCTGAAAGAACTTCTGCACATCCAACAGCACTCCTGTGGACAGGGGAATGGTGTTCAGGAAATAGAAGTAGCCCACCAGATCTGTAAAGCTCAGCTTCCTCTGCATTTGGGACAGGGCCACTTCTGACCAGCACAGCAGAGGACTTGGTCACTGCTCTGTTCCCCTCTTTCCCACATATTCAGCAGACACCCAGAGAAACCATGCACATCAAACACACACAGAAACAAGCACCACAGACTTATGTAGGTACACATTTGGACACAAGCATGTCCTTGCAGACATGTAGATGCACGTATATACCTAACATAAGCATTCCCAGAGAAACACACCTGCAGAGACACAATACACAAACAGGAACCTAAACTCACAGTCAAATAAACCCAGACACACAAAATCATACACCGCTGATATGTACACATAGATACCCACAGGCAGGCATGTGTATGCGCACCCTTCGTCTGTCATTCACACTGTAATCAGAGCAACTGGCTGTTGCCTGTGGCTGCATAGTGCACGGCCCTTTATTTAGACTACTGTGTAAATGGATGACCCTGGAGGCCCTACAAACACCAAAATGCTTAGCCATACATATACACACATACATATGYCCATACAAACACTCATGTGCCCTGGCCTGTACATCTCTACACACAAGCATGTTCTTCCAGAGGTTTAAGCACTCAGATAAGAGCATGCACACATAGAGCTTCAGAGACTTGGGTCTGCCCTCTGTCCCTCCTTCCTGAGGATAGCAGTCTCCTATGCTATGCTAGCTGGATCCCTAAAGCCACTTCAAAAACTTGCTAAGATATAGGCTGGGACAGTGAGTGCTCAGCCCAATGCATTGAGAAGAAGCAGCCCTTCTAACACTGCAATTTCTTCCCTGAAATTCCCTTATCCCCTGAGTGGTACCTCAGAAAGGTCCAGAGTCTATGGTACCTGTTCATGTGAGCCATWTGACTGTGGCCTTATCATTATCATGAAGAAAAATATCCTCGTCCATTTTGTGTTGCTATCACAAAATACCCAAAGCTCAGTAGTTTATAAAGAAAAGTGGTTTACTTAGCTCATAGTTCTCAAGGTTCAAGAGCATGACACCAGCATCTGCTCCACTCTGGTAAGGGCAAGGGGCATGTGTGGAAGAGAAATTTAGGGAAGGTGCCAGCCTTGTTTATGACAACACATTCTCTCAGGAACAAATCCAGTTTTACTGGTTCTGACCCACGGCCGGCCGTGAGACAGCATTAATCCATTCCTGAGCCTCCATGACCCAATTACCTTCTACAAGGCCAAACCCTTAAAGGTTCCACCACCTCCAAACCACCACAGTGGGGACCCAGCTTTTAGCACATGAAATGCTGGGGGACAAGCTATATCCAAATCATAGCAGAGAACATCCTCAATTTATTGACTCATGAGATGGCTGAGAACCAGGCCCTGATCTGCACGTGTACAGTTGTTCCCCTAAGAAATGGGACCATCACTGTCCCCATTATACAGATGAGGACACCAGGCTCCAGCCACCCAAGGTTGCAGGACTGGAACTGGGAGCTGGGACACAACTCTTAGCCAAAGGCAGCCTTCCCTCTCCCCCCMCCACCTAGCAGCCAAGAAAGGGAACAGCAGCCCCCAAATTGGACCCTGCAGAAACACCCACACCAAGAAAGCCCCGTATCCACACCTCCCAGACCAGCCAGCAGGGGAATAAAGATCAAAGGATGACAGACGCCAAGTAAGAGCATGTTGTTTAGTCATCTAACTTGGGCCCCATTGCCACAGCATCCAGGCATACAAACCGTTATGTCTTGTTTCCTCTTTTAATGACACAAAGAAGACGTAGTCATTCAAGAGGAAAAAAAATAGACAACCCAAGTAAGCAAAATAACCGACTCAATCCAAATCCACTCTAATTGCTGTCTTTAGGAAAGAGGTCCCTTGTTTTGTCTCATCCCGGGCATTTCCTGACTTTGTGGTGCTCTGTGGGTGGCCCAAGGCCAAGAGCAAACCCAACTTCACTTTGACCTGTTCCCTCCACCCTGGGCTCCCAAAGACCTGTTTCCCACACGAGAATGTTAGCTGCTGCATGAACCTTATGTCCCCAACAGTCCTCGGGAGCTCGGCCTGGTTTCACTTCTCTTACTCTTCATCCCCACAATAACCACAGCCAAAGGATGTCCTGAAGGGGAAGAAATCCCAACAGGCAGAATTCTGATGGCCCAGCCAGGGGCCCCCTGAGCAAGTGAATGGGGAGCAGGCAGCCCAGACTCCCAGGCTCATAATCTGCATGCCGCATGTCCCCAGCGCCCCTGTGCCCCTCGCCCTTCGTACCTCTTCGTGTCCCCAGCTCAGGCTCAAACTCGGGCCTCCTCAGCTTTGGCCTGATCCCCTGCAGTAGCCTGTGAACTGACCCCCCCCCTCCCCAGCTCAGTTCACCTCCATCAAAGCCTCAGATACAATTGTATCCTCCCATTTAAAAAACCATCCCATGCCTCCCCATTTCCTGAAGTGGAAAGTCCAGGCTCCCAGGATGACACCCAAGAAGCCCATGATCTTACCCCAAACACCCTTTTTGGAACTATTTCCTGCTCCCTTTGCTTCCTGCCATCCCTGATCAGCCCATGTGCTCTCACACTCTTTCACGCTCATGTMGACCCCTCTCAGAACGTCTTCCTCGACTTCATTGCCTTTCCGGTCTTCTCAGCTTTCGGGGCCCAAACCAAACACCTCCTCGTGTGCAAGTTCTGTGGGACCCCTCCATCATTTGTCCTCAGGGCCGCCCAGCTTGCTCTCACCCCRTTCTGTTCTTTATTAGAGTGACTTATACATGTGTTCTATGTCCCTCTGAGCAACTCAAAGACAGAGACCAGGTCTGGTGATGTCTGCAGCCCAAGTCCCATTCATTCATCGAAGCTGAGCCTGTAACTGATGCTTCAATRCTCTGGCCCCAGGGATGCCCAGAAGCTGCAGGGCCCTCTCCTGAGCTCCCCAGCCTGGTCTGTTCCTGCTGGTGAGCTTCCTCCTGTGACTAATATGGTCATTCATGCATTCAGAAATTACAAGTCTGAGTTCCTCACAAGTCTCCAGAGCACGCCAAAGGCTCCTGCCCATAGTTAGTATTTGATCTTGAATCAATGGGTCATGAAAAAAGAAAAGGTTTCTGGGTGTGGTAGGGTACCCCTGTAATCCCAGCAACTGGGGAGGCTGAGGCATGAAGGTCAAGGGCAACCTCAGTAACTTGCTGAGACCTTCAGCAACGTAGAACCTATCTCAAAATAAAAAGAGGT